CTCCAGGACCGCGTCGTCCACAACGGACGAGGAGTTCAACTCCTCCTCAGGTCTTATCAAGACCACTTCGGCTAAGCCGCCTGCCTTCAAGGCCTCGCCAAACTCGGCGACGGACATCTCGTCCAGCTCTACCAGAGCATTCACATCGGGCAGAGAGTAAAGGCTGATCTCGCCTTCAACTTCCCCCGTCACTCCGTTCACGAGTGTGTACAGCTGTTCACAGCAATCACGTGGAGCCTCGCTACTCGTCACGTTGGACACCTCGTCCGACGTCAAAGACGTCACAGACGCCCTGCGTCTTCTTCTCCTCTCCCTCCGCGACCGAGCTCGGCCGGACGACGGCGGTGCAGTGACATCTCCGTCACCTCCACCGGGTGCAGCAGCACCAACGTTCCTCGAAGAGGAAACAGTGTCTCACGAGACACTCGGCTCAGAGCTATGCAGTCCATGACCCTCACTCAGTGAACAAGGCGTCACAAACCTGCATCTCCTGGGCCTCACCCGTGATGACTCGACTCGCAGTCAACCGCGGCTCTCGGGCCACATAGCGGTATGTCCTCGACCGGACCCATACCACTCAGTGGGTTACGCGCCACTCCACTCTTGTCCTCACCAGGACAACAGCAACCTCGTTGCTAACAAGTTTCGACATACCAATGTCCAGCACCACGTCCGCTTCGGCCTCGTGCTCGCGCCAGAATCGTGTCTGCTTCCTAGCAGAAGTAGGTTCATGACTCACCAAGGCCCCACTAGGAACAGGGTGCGTGGCACCGAGTGTCGTCGACTTCCAGTCGATCCATGGCTTATGGCGCTCCAGCCATGCCATGCCGAGGATGAGGTCATACCTCGAATCCAGGTGTAAACCCAAACAGCGTTCCACCCTATCGAAGTCTACGAACTTCACATTAAAGTCAACTGAGACCTTCGACGCCGTCACAAGTGTCCCCGTCACAAGACGGACTGAGATTGCATCTCGCGTTCACACTTCCAGTACCTCAGCATACAGCTGACTCCCTTCCAGGGTGGAGCGACAGGCATAGTTGCCCGAGGCTCCCGAGTCAATCAAGACTCTCCACAGCTTCACAAAGCCCTTCACGTTTGCTTGAACGACCAGCAAGCCCGGCTTGCACACACTCTTCTTATAAGAGAGCCCATCTCTCTTCGGGGCAGAGCCCCGTTACCCTCTACCTCCTCGAGGCGCAACAGAACTCAGTTCTACCCCAGTCGGTCGCCCCGCGCCTACTGGGAGTTGGTGTTTCCCGGCGATGACCCGGAGGGCTAGCTCACCGGAGCCTGGTGCTTGAAGCGTAGAGGACAGCACGCCCTCCGATGCTTGGTTCTTTTGCACATAAAGCACCGGCGGATGCCGGCACGCTGCTCCGCAGCAAGAAGCTCCGCTTCTTCATCTTCCGCATAGCTCAGGTCCATCGGTTCCGGACCGCTCAAAACGCTTGCACTGCCAGCGCCTCAACCAGGTCGAGCTGATCTGAAGTTGTGTTCTACATTCAATGCCACGTTCAACGCCTCCTCGAAAGAGGTCGGGTGTACACTCCCAAGTGGGGATTGCAGTGTCAACTGACATAGTGGCCACTCGCGAGCGCGACTTCCAAGCTTGGAGATAGCCAGCACGACGCGCTGCTGCTCGGACTGGACCAGAGCTGACCACATCGCGAACTCGACCTCGCGGGTCCAGAGAAGGAGATACTCTCCATCCTTCCCTTCGAAGGTTTTACGCTCACCAAAAGCGGTTTCGGTCTAGCAGACTCGTTGCGCGTCACCGACGCTGCCGCCGTCGAGGCTCACATCCTCTCGTGTACATGCTCTAAGAGCGCGTTTTCGTAGCGAGAGAACGCTTCCAGTCTGGCGGTAACCACTCTGGACCTTGCGACGCAAGGTGGCCGATGCCCTCAGGGCCGAGCAGGGACATAAGCTTGTTAAGCGTGTCCTGCTGCGCCGGGGGCAAGTTCGCGAACACTGGGTGTTCCATCCTAACAGAGGACACAGTCAACCAACTCAGGTGCGGGATTGACAGAGTTAAACCTAATCAAATGCATATCGTGTGATCTTCAGCCTATGTACTGAGGCTACTGTTAACTCTACGAGTCATGTACTGAGAGTCTATTAACTCTTCGGGTACTCCGTACCCATGTGTGCACCACACCCGTGTAATCCCGTTAGAATTGTTCTGGTGAGGAAAACATTTTTCTGGTGATTATGTTAAACTTGCTGGAGATTTGTACACAATTATTATTTGGTGCTCTCGATGAAATATATGGTGATGTTTGGTAAATACGTGGTGAAGTATATTATAATGCTGGTGTTGGATATTTTTCCTCGTTAATTAAACATAACCCCTGATTTCCATCCTTCACTATTAGAGTCAAACATATTCCATTATAGAGAGAGTTTTCATACACTGTGTCATCTATTTCATACACAGACAATAGATTATTTTGCCGTTTTATCAGTACTCTAATTGAATGAATACAGTACTCTAAAATAACATGCGTTTTGCTGTCTAGATGGCAGCAAGTATGAGAACCTGGATTTGAGCAGCAAACAATCGTTGAAAAGCTCGCCAAACTGTGGTAACTAGTGTGCCGCCAGCCAAGGCTATACGGTCAGCAAGCTTGGCCGTGATTGCGGGGTACACACTAGTTTTTTTTACTGCTACGATTGATGAAAGCAACTCTTCGTACGGATTCAATAGCACGTGAAAATGACGCTTGACAACCCGGAACAATAGATGCTTTAACTACACTATGATCACGAATTTGATTGACCGAGCACTCCAGCATGGAATCACACAAATCCACATGAGATAAAATCATGCCGCTACTATACCAATTGCCGGGAGGTAAACTACTCAGTTTAAATTTTTGATGTTCTTTCCAAGCCGTTGTGCCACGGACACAAACCAAGTGCATGTACTACCATGACGCTAACTCTGGACTATGTTGCCCGAGCCCAACACACAGGCAAGATGTTACAGATACTGGACTTACATGAGACTGCGTCCGACCCCTGTGGAGTGCGAAGAAGAGCCTCTAATACTACCAGCCTCCAATACTACCACAAGGGCGAGAGACCCAAGCTCCGGCTGCCCTCGCTTACCGGCTGATCAAGCCCTGGACCGTTCCCTACTGAGGGCCAGCAAGTGTGTGCATGCGAGTATAAAATCTGTCGTGGTCAACTGGTTTCGTGCTGCGACTTGCGTGTTGCTTTAGTAAGTTGCATATTGCACTTTTGCTGGTTGATGAAGCATGAGAAACAAAATGGATTATTGTATCCAAATTTCAAAATTCGGTAAACAAAAATACAACTGCAACGTTACAAAAAATAAGACATCTACCTTAAGTAAAAATATGGAAAAATTCCAATCTGCGACTCGATTTGACAAATATTTTCAATCGGGGACTCACATTTTACCACACCCCTTCAAAGCCTAATTTTATAGACCTCGTCAAATCAGCGTGACTCCGAGCGTATGATCCATCACATTAGGAGCGTCTTTGATCACAACGGGAATCCTGTTCTCCAGCGTGGTTTTGGTCTCCTCTTCAGACGCGCACCATACAATTGCCAATCTCGTGTTCCTGCTCTACCTTCTTCGTCTTCACTCCAGTGCCGTCGTTTACTGGAAGAAATTCATCCATTATTATCTTAAACGGAAACAACAACGGCGGTGAAGTCGAGTAATAGAACGCGTCGATCACCACCATTCTCCTTGGTTGCGACGTAATATCTGTCACGCACCAGATCAGCACCGGACAAATCGCAGCCGAAATGATGAACGACACTTCTCTCGTCACCCTCGAGAGCACGATGTAGCTGATTCGCCTTTTCAGCTTCTCGATAGTCACATCAACATCCGTTTTACAATATGTCACAAACTGTGCATTTGTAGCCAGGCATTCACGTGCAACCCCACCAAAGACGTGGAAGCGCTCCTGCACGAGATCGGTAACCATAGACGTATCATATGGTGAAACGCATGTCCACTCGGGTTTCAATCAAAGTTTTAGCTGCTGTTGAAAGCTCCTGGAGCCTCCACACCGGCAAGAACATGTTTGTTTGAGTTTGGTCCTTCTTGTTTTGAGAAAACCGCGACTTATTGGGCTCGTGGAGGGATCATGTTGGCCGGTTCATCATACAGGGGAATAACACCGCAGGACGCTTCATCTATTGTTTTCGTATAGACTTGTAGCATCAGATTTCCGTCGCGTATCGTCTCGTCAACCACCTCATTTTTTCTCCACACTCATCACCGACACCTTCCCACTCTCCGTGAATGAGGCCATTATGATCATAACGAGAGGGATTCTCGAAGCTGTAGCGCTGGAGGAAGTACCCGGAGAAGATGGAAATATAATCAGACAACATCCTAATTTTTGATAGTCAATAAAAAAAAGCCGTCGCACCTGGTATCCCAGTGACGGTGATCCTATCGACTATCGTGCGCTCCAGCTTGTCAGGGATACTTTTGTAGTACTCAGAATAGCAATCGCACACGTAGAATTCGTCCATGGGCAGTTTTTCTGGAAATTCCATCGTGGCTCTATCCACCCAGTTCGGCGCAAGATTCACCACTGGTGACTCTCCTCCATTTCTCTATCAAGGGCGCCGCACGCTGCTTCATGACAGACCAGAAAGTGCCATTTCTTGGTGGTTTTGTTCAAATGCGTTTTCATCCAAATTAGTTGTGTCTTCGTGTTTTTCTCCCTCGGATCAAACTCAGACATCTCACTGCTTTTAACTCTCACTTCTGCAGTTATTAGATTATAAATACTCGGGAGTTTCCGCTATTTAAGCGGGGGCTTGATTGATTGGCATCAGATTGATTGATCGGCAACTATGGCGGATATTTTATAGGATTGTTTAATTGAACTGATGGAATCGAAAGTTTCTTTTTCAACTTTTTACTCAAAGCATGCTAATGGTTAAGATCAACCAGATGGAATAAAAAGAAGCGAATCTAATAGAAAAAGATGGTTCAGAGGTCCTCTATTTATGTTTTAGTAACTATGTAGCCCTGGTATCGCTGGAGGTTTTGCCTTGTCGAACTTTGATTTCTAAGTGGTGGGTATTCAGACGCGTCAAAAAAAAAAACTGGTCATTTAGATTATTCCAGGGGAGGGGTAGAGCTCTTTCTTGCGTCATTGTTGTGACTTGATTATGGAGATGATTGTCTTCTGGGAGATCGTAGAACACGGTTGCCAAGCAGTTGATATAGCACCCTCGAGTAAGCTGACCAGTGTCCTCAGGGTAGTGACGACGTGTAATCTGGTAGCAAAGGTAATATGAACTTTAGTCGAAAGAGAACCTATATGATAAACTTGGCAAATCAGGTTCAGTCTTGAATCTGTAACCGCTACACACATACGCTTATCACACCAGCATTGAACCTTCAACGGGGGAATAAAAACGAGGCGTCTGGTTAGCAGCAGCAGGGACGCGCAAGCTATGAAGCACATGTAAGTTTTGACACCTTATGTTTATGTAGCTACCAGACGTGTAAAAGGGCCACTGTGATTACACTCTAATAATTTATTTATTTTTTTTTGTTGGAAAAGAACAAACCCAAGAATCTTAACCACGTGGTTCAGAACATTGAGCTCGAGTAGGAAGAAATTAGTCACGTGGTGTTGTAAGGACAGGTTTGCGAGCCGTGGGTCTTGGTGTTACGCAATGTCTGTTGTATTTGGAGCTTCTGAAGCAGCGGTACAAGCAGCCACATCCCCAGCAGGAGGGCGTTCAAGTGTATCGTTGGCGTAAACAGATGAATACGAAATGCAAGACGGAGTACAACGCAGTGGCGAAGCGAGTCTAGACAGTTGAATCTGGCCGAACAGAGCAAACTTTTCGCCTAGAGTCGACAGTCAGTAAGGGGATAGTCTTCCGACTCAGTCAACGCCATGCTGTACAAAATAGCTGGAGAAGCTGCCGTCGAATTATAGTTTGCTCATCGATAATATCTAACTGTGCCACTGGAGGGTTGCCCAAAATTCAGAAAACCAAGCGACCCGATGGCGGCGAGAAATCCGGCTACTTTCTAGGGCTTCCTACCATTTTCATGGGTTCAAACAATGTATTCGTAGCTGATGCTGCAGGAACAGGGCAGCGCACGATGCAATATCAATAATTGTGTTAAATTCTTATGGTGCAATAATAACATGACGAGGTATTTGTATGTATGTGTACGATGGAATTGGGGAAATTAACGAGTGCAAAATTCAAAATGGAGCTTTATCTCGACCCCTGTCAGTCTATTTAGAAATAGCAGTCATGATAGTAACTCGAATACTATTACTATTATATGTTCCACTTGTCTTCGGTATGTTTTTACCAAAGGCAACTATGCAAGCTTTAATTGTAAAATGCGACCTAGTACCTAAATACTAAAAGTGTCTCGAATCACTTAAACACTTGCATAGACTTTGCTTAAATCTAGCCTTATAGTGCTATAAACTGGGGATGAAAAGTTTTTTGTTGTTGTTGTTTCTCACTGAGCTAGAAGCGATATAACCTTTGAATCCATCGATACAGAACCTAGCCGATAATATCCCAAAAGAAGTAGGAGTAACTTATTAGTGGGTTGTTCGATTCTACTGGCTGTAGCGATTTTTTTATGATTCTACCCAGTAGACGTGCGGGAAGAAATTTGTTGGCAAGTTTCCGCAGGAGAACGCATCGCACCACGGTTCCTATTACGTAGGTTCTAAGCCATGATCTCGGAGCGCTGAGAGATACTAGACACGAAGATGACGGGTGTTCTCCGCTTTTCTCGCCTTCAACCACTTCCGGTACAACTTTCGTAGGTCCTCTTCGAGGTATTCGGCGTCGCTAGGATACATTAATCCAATATTCGTATACGGTCCGGTGATTTGGCTCCTGTCGACTTTACGTCTTTTTCGACCCCCGCCCCCTCCTCTACCTCCGCCTCCACCACCCCTGCCTCTTTCTTCCGAAGCTGCAGCCGTATCATCAGCCAACTCGCGGGTCTTCTCGCGTGAATCGTGTTCTCTTGAAAAAGCATTCGTCGTAGTAGTTGTTGTGATATCGCTCACTGGAGCTGCGCTGACATCCGAAGCAGCTGCCAGTCCCACCGCAACGACTAGGATGGAGAAAGCGTAGCTTAGGCGCATTGTATCGAGGAGCGCACCCGGCGTTTGCTTTGATGAAAAATGCCGAATGAGGAATGTCTCTCCACTGTCTTTAACTAAACACTGTGTAGTTAGACAACCAGAAAGATTGCGAGCAAATCGATGCAGCGGTTTTGGGTTTACTCCGTACATATGTTTCAATTATTGGTCCAAATGTTTTAATAATATGTTGATGTTTTAAAAATGTTAACTCGTTTATATTTCATGTATGGAATGGACGTCTGCCAAAAATGCTGTAAGCACATGCCATATTTGCAGCGGATAAGCTCAGTATAGAAAGATATAAGACCAGATATCTGTCTGAACGTCTACCACAAATGTTGTAAGATCGCCGAGATTGTCCTATAGAAAATGTCCCATGTTTTGAAAATAAGACTCAAATTGAAGATGTGAACGACACTTGGATTGGGACGAAATGAACGGAATCCTTCCACACTCCCTCCCTCCCTCACAAGCACTTTGGCGCAAAAAAAACTGCGATGAAAGACGGCGATGAGTCCACGCTTTTTCTCTGCATGGGCGAGGCCTTCGCTCGGCACGAAAGGGACATGTCGGACGCTCGAGACGCAGTTTTCGAGCTGCTGGTTGAAGAGGTCTGGAAAGTGGCGATGAGGTCACAACACTATCTAACATTGCAGTACCTAGACAAGCCGTGCGAGTCAGCGTGGATGTCGCTGTACATGTCTGGTTACGACAGAAACTTTTTAAATACAACCAGCTTAACGAGGTGCGCAGCTATTGATATGTTGCATGTGTAGCTAACACCTGGTACTACAGAACTGCGTTTTCACAGCTTCTTGTCCGGTTCTCGCGGTTCTACCGCATTCGGCCTCCAAGCTGTCAAGGCCGGCCTCCTAAGCTACAATACCACCACCAAGTGCTTGGCCTCGTCATGAGCTTCTACGTGGGTTCAATGGAGAATAGCACGTTGTCGCTGTTGTTTGGTTTGCCGCCAGCAACCCTTGCTCGTACACTAAGAAGCGCAGAGAAGGCGTTAGCAGCTACTCTGCAAAACTACAAACACAGCAGCAAGTTCACGCCTTCGAGAGCCACCCGGCGTTCGACAGCCACTCAAACACGGAAGATTGAATGTCTTGAAGTCGTGTTGGCGCCAACACGACTTCAAGGCGCGAAAACAGCGCGCGTCACCTTCAAGACACCGATCTGAAATTCAACATTTAGGCGCGAAGTCAATACGGGTTTGGAAAACAGGACTCCACGACTGTTCACAAGTTGTGAGCAGTCATAAACATTGTAACCGCGGGTGTTCAACTGCCAAGGATTCACGCAAAAGCTCATATATTTTTAAATACATCTGCAAACAAAGCTCTTTCGGCCGTACCTATCTTGGTACGGTGCTGCTACGTCTTCAAGCATGACGACTTCGCAGTCTCATCGATCACACTCATCCTGAATGTCAAGGTGGCGACACGCAACGCTCCAGCATCTACAAACAAACCACAAGTCATCACCATTGTCCGCAGTTATCTCTTGATCCCGACGCACTCTCTCCGTGGTGACCACCACCACCGTTGTTCGGCGACCATTCCCGACCTCGACGAACTTGGCCACGGGTTCACAGTCGTGGTTGACGAACCTCATCAAGCCTTCCATCCGTTCGGCGTTGATTGCTACGCAGACAGGGTGTTCAGGGCGCTCAGGACGCTGCTTCAGAAGAAGCCGGTAGCCTGTATTTCGGGGGGAACGTTGCGGTTCATGCTCAGATGCTCGAGCTCGCCCAAATACTCCCCAAGAACCTCGACAACTTCAATGTCTGCAGCAGCGGCATCTCCTAGCGCTGACGACCGCAAGTTGCGTGCGAGATATACCTTTGTCGATCCGTGAAGGCCGCTGCCACACATGCCCTCGTACGGGCAACAGTTAATGTTGCAGTACGCGTGTACGAGGGGATTGCGGCAAGTGTTTGCACCGAAAGGAGCCGAGCACTGACAGGAACCGAAGTGTGGGACGTCAGGATACATAGTGGCCATCGGATTGAATTGGGAGCCCAGGTGAATAACGTTATGTGGCCATCGAGGTCGGCACAAAAGCGTCATTCGAGGGGGCACATTCGGGGGCACGTTCTTGTCGTCGCCGCTTGACGCGTCCTGGATACATCGCAGCTTCCAGTAGAGGGCTGAATGAACGACGTGAACCATAGCTATAAGGATAAGAAAACCAGTTAATTACGCGTATGGAAACCACTTGAAGTCTGTTTCACCAGCCTGTTGCCTCCAGAGGCAAATTCAAGACTGAGAGCCGCCTTTCGAAATCGAAAAAAATTATATAAGTCAATCAATAGTGTCGGCCGTTGGAGAAGAGTGATGATAAATTAAACTATACAAATTTGCAGAGTAATATTTACGATGGGTTCACGACATTATCGATAGAGAAAGGCGTGTTTAACGAGACGATCCAACCGTCTCATCCAGCTTTAAGTCGCATTATCCAGCGACTTATTTGCTGCAAATACGGCGGGTGCTAACACCATTTTTGGCAGACGTCCAATGTCGAACGTAAAATTCTCGTGCTATATACCTTCCTGAAAATATATCTACGTTCCAAATGAAGTATGTAAGAGGAACACAGAAACAAATGTGTTTGGTCTGCCAATCAATTAATCAATCTGAAAACTTTACAAAGCTGTGCTTTCGCCCGAAACAGCTCTGGGTTTTAACTTTAAATGTTTTGTTTTAAAAAAAAATCACGCCTTAGTCCTTTTTGGCGGCTGGACGAAAATAGAGATTAAATTGTTCCGCCACTCGCTGTACTGCACACTCACTGCACTCTCACTGCCCGAGGGTAATGAACCACTGTAATAATGGATCTCACCACCGTAAACACAGACAGCTGCAAATAACGCATCCTTAGTGATGATCACCTTATATTTAAGCTACAACACTGCAGAAATGTGCATCATCACCGTAAATGAAGTCTACAACACCGTGAAATTGAACAGCGTCACTGATATAATATATGCTTCATGCAAACCAAACTTGAGCTAAGATACTATGCATGAATGCATGCACCATTCCCATGTGGACAACATTGTTATCTACTACTACCTCCGTTCGGAAATATCGCACGATCTAAAAAAAAGTTGCAGCGCTCCGCCTCGTTTTTTTGGGGATTATAAACTGCTCAGAGGTGGCGGCGACTTCGACAAGATCTCGAGAATAAAAACACTAAAAGATCGTAGTACGCTGCAGGCGTGCATGCTCCGCCGCATTAAAAGTATAGAAATGGGTCAAAATGTGTAGGTGATGGCGGGGAGAGCGGGGGAGAGCGCGGAGAAGGCTGAGTAGAAGCTTGCGGAAGTGGCGGATCGATCCACGAAGCAACTGCGAGCGCCAGGATAGATTGCTGCGCAAGGCCGAAACTTGTAGTATCGCACTGCAACGATGCTGGAAGTTTTCCAGCTCGGATCAGCTTATCGTTGTGAAAGTGAGCCATTTGTAGTCGTTGCGGCCTTCATAATTCATGATCTCCTTCATGACCAGCTGTAACGTCAAGAATGTCTTGTTCAGCGTTTCTGCAGTCATGATTTCCCACGCATGCTCAACCTCCTGGATTATGTCTTGAATTGTGCGAGATGTTGTGCGCGACTGCACAGACTGAATGCTGACGAACAGCCCTAAATCCAGGCAGTTGAGGTCGGGACTTTGCGCTGGCTGATTGGGCGATGCGATTACAGATCGAGACGCGGTCCACCTTCTTCCTCCCTCGCTCATGCTTGTGTGAGTTGACGTCAGCAGCCACACCTGTCCCCAATGCGGCACTGCCTCGCTTCCACATTCGCGAAACAGCAGAGCGATGAAAGCCAAACTCCTCCGCGGCTTGCGCAATTTCTCCGTAGGCGAGTACTCCTCTGTTGCTATGACGAAGCAGCGTCTCCCAAATCGCTTGGCGCTCCTGATCAGTTGCTTGTCTTCTAAGCATTTCTGCCCAAGTTTCGAAATGAGCGGTGGGCGGAGGGAGGAAAAATGGGCGGGAGATTCGGATTTTCAAATCCTGATCAGATTGGAGGGGTATTCGTTTTGAGCAGTATTTGCTACATTCCCGATCGTGCGATATTTTCCGAACGGAGGTAGTATAGCCTTCTTCGCTTTGTTTGGGTGCATGATTGACGTGAGGAGATGGTCGGTCTTCGAGTTGACCCCGCATTTGAATTTAATGACGAGTTAGCGTGTTGGCCGTCCCTTGCACCCGTTGAGGAAGCTTGAAGCTGCTGATGGGGTCTGTTAGTAAGGATTGGAACTGGGGTACTGTGGATGAATGCAGGAACTGACGGTGTATCGGATACAGGAGCCTCCGTGGAGTTACTGATCAGTACCTCATTGGTGTGTGTATATGTAGATGCGCTACAGTCCAAAATGGACAGCGTTAATACCGTAATCGTACTCGTATAGTTGAGATGGTTTTGATCTTGATCAAACGTATTTCCTCTAGTTGGCGGTCGTGGAGGAGGACCGAATTGCACACCGTTCGTATTCTATCACTATTGGCACTGATCGTCCCATGGATTCGGGTTTGTTGGTTATTTAGTCGTCTTTGTCTTCTGTTCTGGGCTCGAGTTCTGTTAGTTCGCTTCACAAGTCTCCGCTTGGGTTTGGGCTTTCCAGGACATGGAATACCTAGTATTTTTGCAGCTTCTATAACGTGTAAGCACATCGCGAACTTCGCATTAAATCGGCACTGGCAAGATCTCGAAGCCCGATCGATGATCCACCCGTCTCTAGGCATATCCTCTTGCAGTGTGTATGCCGATTTAAAAGGCAAATTCAGATCCTCGTCGTAAAATTCATCGCTAGTTCTTAATTTCAGATCCGGTATATCCTGCAGGCAAGATGGTGTATCTCGGTCAGTTTCGATAATACGCGGATCGTCTATGGGACCTTCCACATTAGTACCGAGCCCGTTAACGCATCTGAGTTGTAATTATTTTCTCCAGAATCATTGTCGGTAATATATTCGTCGCTACTCCCATGCTACAAACTCTCCCTCGTCATAATCGGATATTTCTTTTTGACGATTGCTTTTGTTTCCAACCCACGGTGCTGAGATGACACGGGCCAGCCGCATGTTACCAACAGGAGGAATAGCTTTACCTTGAATAGCTCCGTTTCTCTTGATGCGATAGTATAATGCTTTTAGGCGGGCAAAAACATGTGCAACCTCGTTGAAAGAAATATGTTTTGCGATAAATGCTATTCTTGATCGATCCAAACGTTGAAGAAGCTCGATTGGCGTAGCGCGATCCGAATTGTTAACTGATTTCAAAGTCTTGTGATACTGTTCTAATGGGTTGTTGGATCCAGGAGGAGTGTGGAAAATCTGCCACTTTGAAAATCTTGACTACACAATTGTTTCCGTTTCAGCCGAAGTGTGTTCTATCCATTGGAAAATCAGAGTCTTAGCAACTTGTTTATACCGAGGGCATAAAACAAAGGCGGTGCGCCATGCCGCTAATATTTTTGCTTCTGAAGCTGATATTGATCTCTAGAAGTACAAAAATGGAGACGGTTGAGATCACGAAATATCATTTTTCTAGTCACACCATCTAGTGCACAGGTTTTCACCTTCACATTTTGGATAACATGGAACCAACACATGAGGACGGTCGTTGACGGAGCACGCGATATCCGGTCTTCATACTACGAATTTCTGATCCGCCTGGGAGATATTTTCCTATTGTCTTCTACTGCGCATCGCAGCGCCGGGCAGATGATATCGCGTGGATTTTAGCTTACCTGAAGAGGGTTCTTCGTGATCGCTTTGCAGTGACGTTTGAGGCTTGATACTAGATGACCGACGCAGATGATGCGCAGTATAACGCTTGCTCACGTGAATTACCACTGTATTATGTGTGCTGTCAACGTGCAATACGGTTGTACAACGGGGATCATTTGCACTGCAATGTAGGTCTCCAATAGCGAATAAGACGTAATGCCAACTCGCATTGGCTGGGTATCGGATCCTTCTCCAACAAACGGTATTATATGGCCATCTTCCTCCACAAGATTCTCCTCGCAAACTACTTTTTTGTATCTGCACAGACACTCAATCCCGCTGGCTTGACAGCGAGAAGATACACATTTGTTTAGATAGTCCTGTTTTGGTGTTTAGTTGCCGCTGGAGCAAGCTCTCCACGGACGATGTGTTCACGTGCGAGGTTACACCTCGATTCATTATACTTGGTTAATACTTTGCTAGGAAGTCTATTTGTAAAGCTTGAATATGGCACTGTATATCCCGTTGGCGTGCACCATAGTAACGTCCACGGGAGCCTTGGGCGCCTAATGGTCTCTGGTGTATCGGTATCAGATTCCTTGGTAAGGTAGAAGTGGGAGACATGGATAATTAGCTTATATCACTATTATATGCTATGTTAGCGGTAGATTTACCAGCAAACGTTGAGCCATGGCCTACGTTTCCTCCCACCGGTAATGCGCCAAAATCATTGCTCTGCGTTGGTTTAATTATGGCAGCCCCTCTAGTTCCAATACTATTCACGAGCAGACTATTTTGGTAGATGTGGTCAGAACAATCTTTACACGGTATGTAAAGATGTTTGGAATGCTAATATTTGTCCTTATTTATTAAAATACATTCGAAGCACTGCATTTTAAACACTATTGCGGTGCTATTATGCGCAAATGCGGTAATCATGTGCCTTTGTTACAAAGGTGCTACTCCTCAACATTACGGTGCTGATGTTCTAATCGGCGGTGTTAGACTCGATCCCTCGTATTGCACGTCATTTCTAGAATTCCAAAGCTAATAGCCCTGTTTAATTTTATAAAAATTTACCATTGGCAATTGTCAAATTCCTGAGGCAATAATAGCACTTGGTATATCTCTTCATGTAAGATATTCAAGGCTCAGCCTAAGCATACCGTATGCACGCCAATATTGAGGTGTATGTTAAGTAATCGGAATGAAGCCACTACTATCCGATAGGGTACCTATGTCATCAGTCACATGTCGATTCCACCCACATTTTTTTTCTACGAATCTAGAAATATTCAAAAAAAAAATTAACTGCTACGATAAACAACTCCTTAGATTTTCGCATCGAGCAAACACTCTTAAGCTTAACAGGATTCATGGAACCCACCTTAATTTACTCAAGGCTATTTCACATTGCATCCCCTTTGCCATCTTCGCAGCTACAGCATCTACACGTGATTTGAGCAATTGATCGAATATTTTTGAAACTGTTCTTACTAATTTTATGTTTGTTCGATGGTGTTCGATTCTACATCATCGAGGTCGGTTTTTTTGGGTTTTATGGTGCATATTGCTTGGGTGTGATGGACTATCTAAATATGGTAGGAAATGTACTTTCTGATAGGCTATTAAATAGCCTACATTACCTTCTATTTCAAATATTAAAACAGAAGGTAATGTATGCTGATCTTCGGCGGTTGGGTCAATATCACAGATTATATACTTATCGAAGAGGTTATACAGTAATAGATACGTTTTGACACGTCCTTCAACTTTGCTGGACCGGTATCTGTAGGTTATGTAATGTGTGAGGATTCTGGGTAAGTACGATCTATGGATGAACTCTGGGTTAAAACCCATAGTATTTTTGCTACGATAGCTTCGAATTGTACGCTACTGTAGCAGTATCGAAAGAGCATATGCTATGGCTGCGAAGTAGGCGCACTAGATGCGCCGACAAATGAAGTCCCAAAATTTGAACGTTTGTGTGAATGGATACCTGCTAGATTTTCCAGCTTCTTCGAGCGAAGCAGACTTTGTTTGTATTGCATAAAAGTATGAAATGGTCATATTTGATAGCTTACCCCGTCTCTCAGATACACCTTCTTTCACACGATAGCACCTCGCAAACTATCACAGACGTACTTAATCGAGACGGCGACGACACAAATAAAATTTATTTAGTTTAACCCCTCAAGCCCGACGTGCTGCATAATGCTGTTTAAGTATTTTTTGTTAACTTGCTTTTTGCACCAAAGGGGCTTTTTTGCTTTGTTTTTTTTTTGGGTTTTTTTTTCCTTTGCCAGTTGTTTTCCAATTTTTAGGTTAACCGGCTTTCTTAACTTGTTTTTTTCTGTTGCAATACCTAAACCTATCTGCAAGAGATAGTCCCCCATTTTTCCTAAATTTGAGACACTGATTTGCGATGTGTTTATCGGGATAGACGGGGAATACCTAACAGCAGCACGCCGACAAACGAACTTCTTTCTCATTTAGAAATTTGCGCGCCAAGGGCTCAAGTGCGATCAAGATGGTGATGCCGAGATGAAAAGTAGTCCATGACTGCGACGTAAGCTCACATGACTTGTCCTTCCGGTCGGTACGGCGAGAACTGAAGTCTCAAGGGTGGACAAACTAGCGACCGCCAAGCCGCAGCTTGGACGATCGGAACCGCTACATCCGCCCCGATTGCAGCGCCGATGGAGAGGAAGGTGTAGACTACTTCATGGGAGAAAGCGCTGTTCTCGAGTATTACGCTAACAGTACGTTTACTAATATGATGTAAAGTTAACTGTCCTCTAATTCTTTGCATATATGTACAGTGCTTCGCGCTCGCTCACGAACCCCTCGCCCAACGAACCCTGGTGATGCTGAGATAGCACCAGCTGCTCACGTTGTCCGAGAGACGTACGGCGCACTGATAGTAGGCACAGATGAACCAACTGGTACTTCTGCAACCCTTGTTCCAAGCACCGCTGGCCCTCCAGTGATCGCCACTGTGCCCGAAACCAGCGCTGGTTCACCAGCAACTCCTGAGCGTGGTCGACATACTTCGCGCTCAGCGCGACGTTCACTGGCAACAACGGAAAGCCCCATGGCATCCACACCACCACCGCGGCCAGTCTTGATCGCGACATCTCCTCACGTTAGCAGTGGTAGCACAGGATCAATCGATGAACACTCCGGATCCGACGTAGAAGCTCCAACCGACGACGCCTCCGCCGAATCCGCTGAAGAAGGCAGTGAATACGAGCCGGGTAAGCTGCATTCTATGCTGAATATTTTGTTGCATCCAATGGCGCATCTTATGGTGCATTGTATCCTGAATCATATACTGCATATAATACTGCATTGCTGACGTTTAGTGTGGTATGTAATTTTGAGCAGATTCTAACGAAGGAGGAGACTGTAGCCAGGAAGCTTTCAGCAACGAGTTGCTAGACGACAATGATGACACTCTCAATGACATTGGTGACGGAGATGAAGCAACCGCGTACGGGGCAATGGACTCCGGTGATGATGCGGAAAAAGATGACTTGGATGACGGAGAGGACAGTGATGAGGGCCGCACGGACACTTTCGCAATCGACGACGGACCTGAACCTGAACCTACCGAGCCTGATTTTGCTGCCGAAGAGCTTTTTGCTGAGCGCTTTTTGGATAGTTGTGGCGGTGAAGATCAAGTTCTGGCTGGTAATCTGAAGAACGACGTCGTAAGTGATATGTCTGCAAAATGGGTGGTAAGATGCTACAGAACCGGACACCTTCGAGTACCTGACGAGTCTATATCAGCCCGTGAACAACACGCAGAGTTACCCTGGGTTACGGAAAGGGTACTCAGCTCCTACTGGAGAAGCCCTACGCAATGCAGACTCACCGCTAGCACTCTTCTTTTTCTTTATGCCAGTGGCGTTATGGCAGCACATTGCCGTGTGTTCCAACGACTATGGACGTGAAATGGCTCCGCTGCGTTTGGATGAACCGTACAAGCAATATTGCAGCAAACAGCGGCTCAATCCGGACCTCCCGAAGAAGACAAAGCGTGAGATTCGGACAGAGATGGAAGGATCGTAGCCGATACAACCCCACGAGTTGTGCCGCTTTATCGGACTACTGCTTGCACGGACGATCGCCCCGAACCGTGAAAAACTTGCTCATCAGTGGAAGACGAACGACGAAGGAGCTATTCCACTTGGCGCTTTTGGATTCGTCTTGCGACGGGAGCGCTTTATGGAAATATCGCGCAACTTGCACTTCAATCCGAGCGGCGACCCACGCGCTGCAACGGACAGAGCCTGGAAGATTCGTAAAGTCGTCGAAGTGCTTCAAAGGACTTTCGAGAGGGGGTATGTGGCGCCTTCGCACTTGGCGTTTGACGAAGCAATGCTGCCTAGCCGTTCGGCGTTCAACAAGATTCGTGTCTCCATGAAGGATAAGCCCCACAAATGGGGTACTAAGCTCTTCATGCTATGCAGTGCTGTAACTGCGTACTGCATTCGGTACGTTTTTTTTTTTTGCCCTAAATTAATCTTATGATGCATAATGCAGACTAACATTGGATGATATGAAATTTTATGCCGCATATATACAGGTTTGAGGTATACTGCGGCAAGAAGCAGCACATTAGCGACGCACACACTACCGACATGAAGTCTGGACCGGCTGCGGTAGTGCGAAATCTTCTTGGAGTGTTTGGCTCGGATGCCCGCAAGGAAGGGATGCATCGCATAGTTGTCGATCGCTTTTACAGGTCAGTGGTATTGGCAATTCAACTTCTACTCATGGGATTTTACTGTGTTGGGACGATCATGACAAGCCGACTGGGCTATTGCAGGGATGTGATTGAGAAGAGGAAGACTCGTTCAGCTACCATTGATCGGGGCTCATTCAAATGCTCGAAGTCCAAGTTAGTACCGAACATCACCACCATCAGTTGGTGGGATTTGCGGCCGGTCCACTTCTTGTGTACAGGCGGGAGCCTCGAGATGGATCGTATAGTCCGCCAAGATCGAGCGGATCAAGTCGAAGTGCCGTGTCCACGAGTCGTGAAAGATTATCACGCCTTTATGGGAGGCGTGGACGTGCTTGATCAGCTGCGCCTGTAACGCTATTCAATCCAGCGGGCCGTACGATTCCGAAAATACTACAAGTCTATGGTGCTCGGGCTTATTGACTTGGCAATAGTAAATGGCTACATTGTACACAAGGCCTATCACAAACAGAAGCCCTCACGCCCATTGAGCCACGTGAAGTACATGAAGAAGCTGCACTTGCAGCTTCGCCAGCTGCGGGCGTCTGACATGTACGAAGGTAACACCTTCGGAACGCAGCATGGTTCAGGTGAGGATGCCACTGCACCAGCTGTCGTCGACACAGGAGAGGCTCTACACGCCCCCAAACAACTCGATGATTGGCGGAACAGGGACACACAACCGAAGCGTCGGCAGCGAGCGTGTAAGGTGTGCTGGCTCCTACGTGGCAGTGATAAACGTGCTACAACAACTGCCTCCTTCTGCGATGCGTGCAGCGAGTCGGGGCCGATATTCCTGTGCATGAAGCCTTGCCGGCAGATGCGCGGGGTGGCGATGACGTGCTGGGATATCTGGCATCGCGAGTGGAGGAATGGTAAGTTAGTTCCTGCTGATACCGGGAGAAGTATCAGAGTGCCCCCGAGCTGCCGAACCGACTGCAGGTTCCCCCTTCTACACCAAGTACACCAGTCGAACCTCTTACGCCTCTTGCTCCCGGCTAGCACAAGTAAACGACGTAGGATGAACATATAGTTGGTAAGATGCATATAAAGTTGAATATATGCGATTTAATGTTTAAAAAAATGCAGTTTGCGAACGTCTAACTTACAATGTCATAGGTAATGTATTCAGATAGTCCGGCTCTTACGAGCGATTTTTTTATACTTAGTTTGACTATGCGTGCTGGACACGCATCAACTGATTACCCAGAAGCCAGAGCAAGCGTCAATTGATTGCGCTAGCTCATTGGGACGACACCCCTTCTTTAAATATGAGGAATTGTATGGGAAGTTTTCAGTTTCTAATTTTGAAAATTTAAACTCTACGAAATGTATAAACCGGCACGCATGGCTCGTGTCTGTACTGCGTCTGTTTATAATACGGCCAATTCCGCTGCGTTATGCTGTTTCCTCCGCGTAGTTTCGAGCTACATATGCAGGTTACGTGCAGTTTAGCCATGTCCATGCTCATTCCCGCCCGACTACGACCAGCAACCCTACCCACCCACATCCCTTTGAATACAAACACCAAGTCAAATTATGGTGCATATGCAATATAAAAAACTAAAATTTATTCGGGCTGGAGGGGTTAAATTTCGAAGTGCACACCCCAAATCAGATTAATTGTACGATATCGTATCGATATCGTATCAGCGCCAAAACAGGGCTCTATCAACAAACTAGTGCTGCTATCGGCATGCTGACTGAGCAAACACCAAGATTCAGGACTTCACTTCGTCAACGAATGGCGGTTCATCGACTCGAAAACACACACACACACACACACACACACACACATACATACACACATGGACATGGTAAAGCCTCCGCGGTTTGTGGCATCAATATTCTAAGTTGCCTAAAGGTTGTAGGCGACAATTTGGAAGTGAAAGTTCACTGGAAGATTATTATGGATTACGACCTCTTTCGTGCTCCATACTTTGCCGAAAACTGCGGAGCAGAACTCATTTGTGAGATTTACAAACGACAATCACATTGTAAAATATTTTTGGAGTCTGTCTTGGTGTTTGGTGCTGCTCGTGAAGATCAGTCAAGAATGGTGAGTTCCAACCACTGAGTACTAGCCGGTATGCCATGGCGTTGGAGAGGAATATTTTTCCTCGCTTCTCTACTCGTAATCCAGTGAGTAGTTGCCATTGATTACGTGGGTGAAGTCGTTGTGCGGATTTTCGTGTTGCTATCAATGTTAAGAGTACACGTTAAGAGCCGTGCAGTTGATAGCAAGGGACGTAGAAGCTGGAACGTGATCAATAGGCATGGCTGAAGATTTGGACACGATTGAAAATAAGGATCTACCGATACGTCCACCTCTGACGGAGGAACGCTATGATGTCACAACGGGCGCCAGTGGCGTGGCTTCCATTGCGACAGGGGCAGTCGTGGTGTAGCGATTTCTAAGTAATCGATAAAGTGGCTACATTCAAGTTGCTCAAGCCACGAACGCTCGGTCATGCGACAGGTGGTGACTACGGTACAAGACATCCGGGATACGTCACTACAGTCCGCGTCAAAACTATATACGCACTTGAAAAATGAAGAATTCTCTTCTGGTAGTGCGAGTTAAATGTCAAGCTACGCGCTATAGTACGTGGATAACTGTTAAGAAGCAACCCTGAAAGCTTAACTAACCTAACAATTTTTTTTTTTCACAATCGAAAATATAACGGTAAGTGATCGCGTCAAAACTATATACGCACTTAACCAAATTTGAAATACCTAAAGCTAAAGTGGCTATTTTTGCAAATAAAGCAGCCCAATGGAAAGAGCTCAAAAAACGCCCTCTTGGGGCCATCACTATCAGCCAACACATCCAATTTTGATGCCGCGAGGGAAGCTTTTGACTGTGACGGATCGTGAGCGCATTAAAGGCTACAAGGAAGAAGGACTAAGTAATCGTGAGATCGCCCGACGCATTAAACGCGACGAGGGGGCCATTAGGAACTTCCTGAAGGCGTCCACACGGACACACCAGCCTAAGAAAGTGGGCAGACCATCGATTCTTCACGAGCGGGAGGCCAGGCAGATTTTTTGTCTAGCTGTTTCTCGCAACCTCCTGTCCTAGCTGTTTCTCGCAACCTCCTGTCCTGTCCTCCAAGAAGATCGCGGCCCTTTTCCCGTCCGCCCTAGTGTATCTACGGTCCTTCGTGTGCTACGGAGAAGTCCCTACGCCACCTTCTCAAAGAGAAAACCTGTTCCAGCGCTAAAGCTTTATCACAAGGTAGCTAGGGTAAAATTCGCGAAACAATTTGCGGATATTAGCAAGTATTGGAGACGTGTCGTATTAACTGACGAAAAGAAATTCAATTTGGACGGACCTGATGGCTACCGTTGTTACTGGCACGACGTCAGGGTGGCGCCGAAACTCATGTCGAAGCGAGTCAACGGTGGAGGAACCGTGATGATATGGGCTGGAGTGTCGATGTATGGAAACACTGACGTGGCTTTCCTCGAGGGGAGGCAGGATGCTGCTAAATACACGGCGACACTGCGAGAAAATTTGCTTCCTTACCTGGACAAACTTCGGCTAAAAATGGGCGATATTGAACCTATTTTCCAGCAGGATAATGCATCAATTCATGCGGCCAGGCTCACCAAGGCATTCCTTCGAGCTAAGAACGTCTCGACAATGGTGTGCCTGCCAAGAGCCCCGACTTCAACATCATCGAGAACGTGTGGGGACTCTTGGCCAGCCGAGTGTACGCAAATGGTCGTCAATTTGACACCCGGACTGAATTGAAGGCCTGCATCAAGACGGAATGGGCTCGCATTGAACAAGACTACATCAAGAAGTTGGTAAAAAAAAAAAAACGCACCTAAACGTTTGCACATGGCAATTGCTTTAAATGGAGCCACAGCACACTACTAGATGAATTTAAAATTATGCGTATATAGTTTTGACGCGATCACTTACCGTTATATTTTCGATTGTGAAAAAAAATCTTTTGTCAGGCAGGCTAAGCTTTCAGGGTCAATTTTAAATAGTTATCCACGTATTGTGACACTTAGAGTTAAATGAAACTCGCACTACCTGAAGAGAAATCTTCATTTATCAAGTGCGTATATAGTTTCGACGCGGACTGTACCAAACGCTCGTCGGGTCCGACTCTGACCAAGATGTCACTCAAGTCGGGAGGTTCGTATCGGTGAAGCTGGGTTCGCATTCAGCGGTCAAGAACTGACGGAATACAGTACTTCGAGTCGGTGACGGTTCGAATGGCTCTTCGGTGGGTACGACTAGCAGTTGAACGCTCGGCGGAGACATGAGAAGGCACAAGGACAGTTGAGGTAACTGTTGGCATGTGTAGCGATCCATAACGGATCATAGTTCACTTGATATTTGTAGACCTAAATAGGATTGCATAATAGGAAGAGCCCGAAAGGGCACCATAAATAACAGAACAGAATTTCCACTCAAACACACGAGCGGGGTCCGGCTTTAAGGTAAGCGTCTGGATAAGCTTGTTTTGGTGTGTTATGCCTGTCGGTGGACTCGAAGCTTACTAGCGAGGGTTCATCCGGCAAGACCAAGAGAGTGTGTGTATTGGCTGATTATATATCGGAAGTTTACGTGACGGCTTTATTGTGCCCATTTGCACGTGTTGGGGGGAGCAAGTTGCCTCCCATATATTCTTCCAGTCGAGTGTTGAACACTCGGCGCCCTCGTAAAAGGCTTATTCGTGCCTGGTACCCTTCCGCTGTTGGGACCTTGAGGATTCATAACACCTACTCGCTTTGCTCGTGCTAGTCGCGTCTTCTTAATCTTACTGGTTGGCCTATATAGACGATTTGCAGGTCCAGTCTGTCCCGGTGTAAGGCTGAGTCTGGGACTTTAGATCACACCTGAACGGTCGTTTACCGTTCTAGTAGACGTATTGTTGTGGGTTTATCCTACCTACACTAGTTGCTATAGTTCCCGTGGAAATTACTACACCACATTGATGTGCTCTTTTCATCACTTGCAAGTCCCACATAAAGAACCGACGCCAATGGAGATAAGATAGCAAGCGCCACACGAAGTAAGTTGCTGGAATGCTCCTGTTAAATTATGAACAGTCGATCTAACCTCGCCTATCTTTTCATCGATGTGCATTAATGTTTGTTATTGCTTTTGTTTAAGGTGATCAATCAAGTCAGGAATAACCTCGTTTAAACGCAATGCTTGGGGTGATTTTCCGTAACAATCTTTGCTTTCAGCTCCTCGCGTTGCAAGCTGTCCGGCGGATCTAGAACGACCCGCTCCAAGTAAAAGGATCGCCTATCCGGAGAAAACCCGGCAAGTGAGCGCATGGCATCCCGCGGTAGAGCATAAAGGTAACATCCCTCCATGGCATCATTATTCCATCTACCAAATCGCCTAATCTGTGCTTCTGTTGCACCAGCATATTCGGTCATTTTCGACCCAGAACCTCGCGCGGCGTGTGTCTTCGCCTTCGAGCGCATTCCAAGAGCAATGAATGCTTTCACAGTTGCGTCATAATGGGCTCGGTATGTTAATGGCGTTTTCGAATCTTTTCCGGACTTAAGTACTTTAATATCATACCATTGGTTAGGCTCCAATACATTAGGGATGGCTTCATTTTGGATACTCCATCTGAAGAAAAAAATACAAACCCAGAGCACCAACAGGACAAACCTCCAGGTTGCGATGCCGAATGCAAGATCCAAACTCGGGACAACCGTATAGGTTAGTCTTACGAGACCACGACATGTCGTGCTCCAGAACCACGCTAAATAGGTCAGGTAATTCGAGGTTGCGTGCCGATTCTCCTCTTAATAAGCATGCGTGACATAAGAAGTGGCTCTCGCGATTTCGTAAATCATATCCAGTGTTGAGATTCAGTTAAATACTAAACCCAGGAAGATAACCCTTGAATATCAAATATGTGATTTACATTAAAATTATTTTATTAAATTTTATGTACACGTGAGTGCAGTTTCTAAACTCGTTTCTATCGCGGGGAATCTGCACTATCATGAGCTCGGCCGCCGCCGCCGCCAAGACCCGCGCTTACGGGGACCTCCAGGAGGCCATTAGTACCAAGGACTGCTACTGCCTTAATGAAAACCCTAACAAGCCCTTCCGCAACCTCTTCATGGGCGACGACTCGCTCGTGCTCAAGTCAGATGCCGATGGTGCGAGTCCAACACGTATCATATCCAGCTTATATCTAACCTCCCGTTTGCTTACTACGTTTTTCAGAGCAACTGATGCTGTATCTGGAGTTTCAGGATGCCGTCAAAGTCTTCTCGCTTAACATTGTGGCGCCGCAAGGCGAGGAGGCCCCTCGCGTCATTAAACTGTATGTGAACCGCCCCCACCTGGGATTTTCTGACGCTGGAGATGTGGATCCCACGCAGACCATCGAACTTAAAGACGAAGATCTCCTTCCCGAGAACGACGTGGAACTGCGCTTCGTTAAGTTCCAGCGCGTAAAGAGCCTCACCGTCTTCGTGGAGGAGAACAACGGCGCTGAGGAGACTGTCATCTCTAGCCTCAAATTCTTTGGTACGTTATTGCAAGATTTGCAGTGAAATGTGGACGAATTAATGGATATTTTTATTTACTGGCACTCAAGGCGAGCGTCTGGCCGGTACCAACATGAACGAGCTCAAGAAGATCAGCGACGAATAAGAAAAATGACCTTTTCAAGTCTCGCGTTCCCAAATTTCGCGAGATGCACCCATTTTTCATCTGATATATATTTCATTTTACACGTCGAAGCGGTCATTCGCTAGCACTTTGCTCTTGTTGCCTCCATATGTCAAATAGAACGGAGTATCTGGATATCGTCCTAGTGTAGTCAGCTGTGGCAACAGGTCGCGCTTGTTGCGAGGCACTCCTCGTTTCTTATAGGGATTCCGCCACTCGTCCACATATTCAGTGCCAGAGTTAATACCCGGGGCATTACGCTTCCGAGCCACGTCTTGCTCTGGATTGTAGACAGCTGCAAAGTCTGAACTGCCGATACGTCGAAGTTTATGATACTTCGTTTGCTTGCGTTTCTCTTGTTGTATAGCATCGTAGGGACCGGTAGCTTGCAGTGTAGTTTTGTTTGAAGGTGGGTACGGCGCTAACCTCGACGGTGGTCGGGCATTAGCAAGCCTTGACGTCACCACCCGATGAGCATTTTCGCGTATATGGCTCTCTACTGGAACACCGAAACTTGTGGCGGTCGCTGCTTGCGTGGGCGAGTTGAAGATGCCCGCGACCGCACGAGTACTCACCAAGTGGTGGAGATCTTGAGTGATCTTCACAAGTTCCTCTCTTGCTGCCTTTTCGGTGTCTAATTTTTCCTGTTCTTGCTGTTTGCGGAGATTCTCGTCTAACATACGACGCATGGTATCCCCCTTGGCTGCAAGCTCACTAATGTAAGCTTTGCGTTTTCGGAAATCCAGACGACGTGTCCGACTTTGGACTCCTCGTGCAATTTTCTGAATGACTACAGCGTAGAAATCCAATACTACACGGCGATGTGTTCGCTCCACGTCAGCGCGTAGACGTTTACACTGTTGTCGTGCAAGGTGTCCGCGAAACACGCGCGAGATCGTAAGTTCGGCATCCCTGTAAACAATTGGAATTAAAGCTCAATAAAGAGTGAATATAGAGGTGAAGACGCTTACGTTTGGGCAGTCACAGCAGCGCGAACACGCTGTCCTCGGAAGAGGCGCTGGATGTGCGTTGCTGCGGTGCGCTCAGTATCAGCTTGGGCCTCAGCGTCACTACAGATACAAACAGAGTTAGAGACCGACTCACATAACACTGAGTACACGTCGAGCTATAACGCACTCGAGAAGCTTCTGTAGACGCATAAGTGTGGTGTCTCTGCTCTTCCAGACATCGTAGAAGAGCGCCATGTGTGCGCTGATCACTCAAAAACGTCGATAGCAGAGAGCGGCTTCTGGAAAACAAATACAGATTTAGAGCATCTGCGAAGATAAACAGAGCCAAATATAGGGGTAAGTATGCTGAGAATTTATGGAGTCGATAGAGAAATGATAAGGTACGCCACTCAGTGGCATTAGCGTATGTTGCAGCTGCCCAAGACCGTACGGGTGTCTAAGGCAACAGCATATGATCACAACCCACGCGCTCTGCATTCTGATTGGCCGAGCACTTCAACTTGACTGGCCACCTCGTCCCATGTAACGGATGCGATCGAAAGGGACGAGAAGTGTGGAGACTATTATTCTGCTGCGGTGTGGCATGGAACTATTCGCGACTTTGAACGTCCGTCGCGTCGAGGACCAGCGAGCGATTGAGCGAGTCATGGCGTCTCGAGATAAGCGCTGGCTGGCAAGTTTAGGGCTCAAGGGATCGCGCACCTCTCAGTTGTCGTGTGACGGATTGGCGGAAGTGGAACAGGCGGATCCGGACGCAGAGATGGCAGCTCTGGACGAGGAGATGGTGGATATGGCCTTGAACACGCCAGCGGAGAACGAACGGCCTGTTCAATTAAGTATGAGACTCATCCGAGAAAGTTGTGCAGTGTCCAAGAAGTCCACGCGACGGACTCGAAGCTCAGAGCACGAAGACAAGGAGGTTGAGGCGATATTGCGCAAGAAAATACTGCGGTTGGATTGGCTAGACATTGGTAAGATCGAGAACTTGGACGCCTTCACACACGTGGAGGAGCTGTATCTCCAGTACAACCTGATCGAAAACATCGAAGGCTTTGACGATCATAACCTGCTCACGTTCCTTGCTCTTGCGGGCAACCGAATCCGAGAAGTTAAGAACCTCAAGCACCTGCACAATGTACGTCGTTCGTTATGATACTGGTTAAATAATGCTAGAATGTTATACTGACCTGTGGGTACGATTGCAGCTCAAGTTTCTAGATCTGTCGATGAACTACATCGAGGACTTTGATGTCGGCGAGTTCCCTAAATCTCTTCGTGTCCTCAGACTCACTGGGAACCCGTTCGTACGTCATATGCCCGCTTACGCACAACTCTTTTTCGAGCGACTACCCAACCTCATGCAAGTGGACCAATTCCGACGATCCTCAACAGAAAAGGCCCCATTATCAGCGTTGTCAACACAGAGCGAAACCTCAGCACCAGACAACGCAGCCGTGTTGCCTCTCCCTTCACCAATGGTCGAGAACCGCGCATTAATGGAGCTACCACACAACGAGCAGGACCTACACGAGAAGCAGGAAGGATTCGAAGCAGATAACAGTGTGTTCAATCTTGCAGACTATGAGAAGCAAAGCAGCGATCGGATGTCCAAGTGGAAGACGCAATTGACAGAGCTGACGTCGCGAACAAGAGAGCAATTAGCTGAAAGTGGCGAGTCTATCAAAGCCGACACAAGCACCAGATTTCACGAAAGACGCAGCCTCGTATTATCACGAGCCCGAAGAGCGACAGATGCAGCTCTCGTCGACGCTGCGAGTCACTTTAAACAGGTGCGCATGCGTGTTCGAACAAGTAAAAAGATAGTAAAGCGCCCAGCAACAAGCTAACGCGTGTACCCGTTGTCTTCGTAGATGGAATTAGCGCATCAAGACTGGCACAATAGTCAGCAAAGACAACCGACAACCTCGCAAGTCAGTTACTAACACGTCGAAAAAAAGAAGTTGGATATTCCATAGCATGTAAAAAGAATTAAACAAAAACAAAAGGCATCCCTTGTAAAAAAAAAAAAAAAAAAAAAAACCAGAAATCTCCCGAAACTAAAATAGGGATCAGAAAATAAGGTTTAGAGTTGAATGGCGAAGCTTGTGTCGCATGGAGTGGCTTGCGGGACGTACTCAGCCAGAGTTCGTAGATGCAGCGTGAATTGTTCAAGAGTGAGATGTCGTGCATTCTGCACGTGTACGCTCTTAGCGACGACGTATGGTGCCGCCTTGTAGGCGTCGCCACAGGCTGCGATGTCCGTTTGGTGCGGACTCACTACTACCAGTCCGAACTTGCCCATTATCGGATCAAAGATCCTCTGTGGAGCTCCACCAAACAGTCGATCCCGACACAAACTTTGCAGTAAATTGACTCTCCACGCGGCTTTATCCGCTGCAGATTGGAACCTGGTTGGAGCTCCAATGACGTGAACGCTGGTCATCATAGTCGTGCTGCCGAGACAATAGGCCAGTCTCGGGAAGAAGGTTTTGCACATGGCTTCGACGAACTGTACGCCCTCTTCGCTGACAATGAAGAGTGGACCGTACGCCGACACTGAATTGAGCAGTTGAATGAGATCTTGCTCGACTGAGGCAAGTGCTGCTTGGAGGTTTGGAGTGCGTAGAACTCGCTGTTTGGCAGCTTGGAGAGCTGATACTGACGGCCTAAGTCCGAGATGCTGACGCATCCACTTCGTTGGGACTAGGACATTCTCCCAGCACATGACGAAGGCGTTGGGTAGACCGTTGACGGGTCGATTGGTAGCCGGATACTCGTACAGATCGCTGGAGTAGGTGGATACATCCATAGAGAAGGACGAGATCATGGCTTGGGACATTATATTATTGGCATTTATTGCTGGTCTGGGACGCAGACAGCCCAGCGGGTCGTTGGCAAGAAGGAAGTCCAGTACATCGGGGTTCATCCTGGCAGGCAAGTTGGAGAATGTCGGAAGATCGCGACTGTTGTCACGGGACGGACGCTGGTTGGTCAATTATACGTGTTCTGATTGGAAGATATTATTTTTGTGCAGTTGGGCGGGGTAAATGATGGTCTTAGTCCGTATCTTACTATTTATTTTACCCACACGAACTGAAAGGTAAAATCGACACCGTAATGTTGTAGGGTGAACTGGAGAATGAATAAAATCCATACAAACAATCGACTCTGCAGCTGGACGACGTGGGGAATGCTAGTGATACAGTGTCGACAGGTTTAATTTGCGTTTGAGTGCAAAATGCAGCATCACAAACGAAAGAACTTCCGGTGATACGTAGATAATAAGACTCGTAATCATAGTTCCAAGTTGTCCAGGTACCATATCGCGTGTATGCAGGTAGTATTTGTGTACCGGAGCTGACACAGTATCGTCAAATACACACCAAAGAGCATGGGTATTGCACACTCGACATACTCGACTAGTGCGTGATATTCACACTGAAATAGCAATTCCAGCATACCTTCCACTAACGTAATGCGTTGCTCCTCGAGAGAAAGTTTATGAGTCGTTGACTGTTTCGATAATAATTCATTCGACTCGAATGGCCCGATAATATCTGAGTTGTGCTTTGGTTGTTTGATATCCGAGTTAGGGTGAATACTCACTGACCCGCGGGTCCAAATTCTAGTTCTAGAAGCCACTCGAGAAGCTATTCGATTTCCACGAGACAGGAATGCTATCTGGTGGTTGAGTAGGGAGTTTAATACCCGCTCATTTTCAGCTCCAAGGTTCAGCGTAAACGTAGAACAAATACGAATCATCTTCCCGTTCTTCGTCTCGAAGACCCGGATATGCCCAGTAATAGTCATCGCTGCCGTAAAAAGCTCAATCGGTGCATTGCTATCACCTTCTGGCAGTAATTCTGGTTGTTGTATTTGTTGATGGCTCACCCGGGTGCGATTAAGCACGGAATAAAACGATATGGCTCCGTTTAAAGCATCGACAGATATGATGAAGATCGTCGCTAACGTCGACTTCGCTGTCTACATACATGTTGAGATATACAGCGCATTAAACACGTCGATAGAAAACACTGCTATACGAGGGACGTAGTCTTCCAAGTGAGAGGATGGCCAGGCTACAATATTTTTCATGATCAGCTTGATGAGAGGAAGTAATAATACGATTCCGGCACGATTGTTAGGAGTCGTGTGGAGGTAAATACTGCAGAAAGCTTGGATAAATGATTGCAATTGTTGCTTCGGTTACCAAAACGTAGAGTTGACCTTTCAACTCGGTACTCAAGCCTAGATTCTCCTTGAATGTTCGGATACCAATTGTAAATATCAGGACTGCCACGAAAATAACGAAACATGGTCCGATTCCGACGACAATCATTTGCTACTTTGAAACTAATTCCACAAATGGAACCCGGAACACCCACCTCCGAAATTAGCATTGTCAATAACATAATTTCCGAAAATAACAGTAAATTATTTATTTCATCTGAAATGCACCGTTCAACAGATTATTCATTTCGGGAAAAGGGAATATTGCATTATTGATGGGAAGCAATGCCTAACATTATTTTTCAAGAAGATTTCCTTGACGTTCGCACCGCAGTAATAAGGTTTCGATGCAATACTTCATGTTCTTTGTCGCAAAATTGAGTGTCTAATGCGGAAAAGGAAAGCTGCGCTGTAACCTTTACTGCTGCTGCGACAAGAGGAGCTCACATTGCATCAATAATCCAATTATTGCTTGAGTTTTGAATTAACTGACAACAAGTAGCTAGGTTACGATGGGGTACGGTCTCCAGCTGCGGTATTCACACTGGGTTTTTGTAACAGGAACGTGACCATGTCGAGTTGCATGAGATAGGATTTCTCCAATCGATCCATAGCCTGACGAACATTCTCGTCAAGTCCTCGAAGCTGCGGTAGGAACTGAGCATACGCTAGTGCAGCTACAAGATGCTCCAGGTTTTCGTCTCGCAGTATTTGCCGTGGTAGACGGAGATGCGTTAAACGTGGCAATGTAGCCAACTCTCGCAACAATACAGACGTCGGTACACGCGCATGGGAGAGATCCAAACGTTGCAGGGTACAGCTCTGCGTGCTCGCGAGTGTGCGTACCCAAGAAGAAGATGCAGTAGATGGCGCTACGACGCTGACAAAGCGCTCAGATCGAAGCTTACTCTCTTCCAAAGTCAAATGAAGATTCAATAGATCGTACACCTTGTCGTTCTGGACTCTCTGGACTTTATTTCCAAAACAAGAAAGAATAAAATCGAGGATGTATAATGCAATCATCCAGTAAGAAAAAACCGGAACGTTTTAGAACCTACGAAAATGAGAGAGGTTTTTTAATCTAACCCTGATCCAGCGGGAATGGACGCCATGGCACCCGAATCACCAAATCCCTCCCTCGACGAAGAAAACATGCTGCTAAGCGAAAAACCCTACGTAATGAAGTAGAAACGGCCTAATATATATATAAATATGCACATTTCCTACATGCCTCTCTGTTGGCCTACCGGTGAATGTCCACCAGAGAGCCATTTGAGTGGCCAACAGTCTCGTGACTTTCGGATTTACTCCGGAGCCATCATTGTACACTTCGCACAACATTCCAGCGGACCGCCATCCGCATTTTCATGTTGTTAAGTTTTTTGGGACGTACTAAAGTCTATCATGGTATAGCAGGTTGACTAACCTGGCTATAATAATGATACAATCAATTAAGAGCGGGTTCACTCTCGTCCAACTCGCATTTTTCGTTACAGAAGATTTCTGGATGCAATCTAACCACATTCACGCAGCAGCAGCAGCGGCCCACCTTATTAAAATATCAGGAGGGTGGGCGTTCATTTCCTACACTCGCTGTAGTAGTTCTCGTTACTTGGAAATAAGTGTATTCCCTGCTAATAAGTCAAAGACGATCTTATCCATATAGTTCATTTGTCAAGCAATGGTGGTGCCCACAAACGTGTAGCATCATCAGAATGCTGTAAGTTTATTTAGTACAATGACCTCGAGAATAAACGTAATACGTCCACCTAGGTGCTTGACGGATACCTTTTTTAATTACAAGATTCTTGAATATTATACATCGATATAAATTGGACGAACAGGAATTTATGCTCGTCTACCAGCAGCTACGTTTTGACAGCAAGGGCAGAGGTAGCGGTCACATCTACAGCTACAGCTAATACAATGACGACTCTGGCGAGTTTTATTGCACGTTCATTCGTGGAAGCCTG